AGAGAGAGAGAGAGAGAGAGAGAGAGAGAGAGAGAGAGAGAGAGAGAGAGAGAGAGAGAGAGAGAGAGAGAGAGAGAGAGGTTTTGGCTTTTTAATTTTCCGAACTTCTGAGCTTGTGATGCTCGGAGAATGCATGGCTTTTTTCAATCGAGCTGATGCTATGTAATCGGTTTGCCCCTTCTTCTGTTTGCAGCTGCTCTGCCAGGAGTATCCATCTTTTATGCTCGCCATCACACAGACGACACGAGAGACGAAGAAACACGCCCCGCCCTCAACCTCATTGCCAGCAAGGGAACAATTTCATGACTGCAAAAAATGTTCGACAAACAGATTGATTGCTCATGTTTCGTAGGGGGGGCTACTACTGAGATAGCTCACCAAAGCTCATCTCATCGCTCAGTGTGATTAGTAGCCGGTATCGTTTGATTTGCCATATCTGATGATAGCTGAAGCCAATACTTGATTTCTAATAATAGCTCACAGCTAAGACTTCCTCAATATGCCTGGACCGGTAGAGGTTGCTGGTACACTTGTGACTTTTTTGCTCATTAATTAAAGCTCATAGCTTTGTGTTGATTATGTTGAGCGCTTGCCACAAGTTGATAGCTGATACCTTACTGATTATGCCTGATCGCAGAGGGCTGCCCACGTGGACATCTCAATCTTATGTGGATGAAGATACCTGATAATACCTGAAAGGGGTTGATACTCTTTTTTTTTTATAGTGTACTGATCATACCTGATAGCCGTCAGGTAATTTTTCTTGCAGCTGAGGTTGAGATGTTAATAAGATATAAGGTGAACCATCTGTCTGATTTAGGAACAGCTGAAGTTGGCATCTCAATCAGATAAGGTGATCCGTCTAGTGGATTTTTCAACAAGTCTCTCGTGGCTATCAGGTGTTTTTCTTGCAGCTTCCAGGACTGCGCAGATTGTAAAGCCGGCCGGGGTACATCCTGGGTTTGCGATTGCTAAGGGGTAATAAGAGTTGCAGAACTGTGGATTTGCGGTTGCTCGGCGATGGACCTGAGGATTTCAGTGAAGTATGGCCCACAAATATATGAGGTGGGCATCCAGTCATCCGCAAGAGTGTCAGACTTGATGGCGAGCATTCATCAGATGACAAATGTGCATCCCAAAGGGCAGAAACTAATTTGCAAAGGTAAATGGGTGGCCATCCGTTTGATCCGTTTTAACTGCGTCCTTTCTTTGTTTTTTTTTTTTTTTTTTTTTTTTTTTTTTTTTTTTTTTTTTGAACTTTCCTCCTTTTTCCTTCCAGTCCAGGGGTGTTGCTTTTTTCTCTCTCTCTCTCTTTTTTTTTCCGTACGACTCTTCTCACTGCCGCAGTGTAGGGGAGTCGCTTTTCAGTTTCTCGTTGTTACTCTGTGGGCAGCATACTCACACCAGGGGGGAGGTTTCACTAGCGAAGAGGATTGGATTTAATGCCTGAATCTGGGCGCCTTTGCGGAGAGGTGCAGAAAATCACGATTGATCTGCTTTTTCTGCACCTCTGCATAGAACACGTGCGGATTCAGACGCTTAATCCGAACCACTTTGCTAGTGGGACCTCGCCCTGGGACTCTGCTCGGTGTATCTGACGGAAGTCACGGCGGGTGCTCCATCTATCGAACTGTGATTACGTCCCGAAGGTACAGTAGAAGAAGTTAATAGCGTTGCAAGTATGCCCTTCATGTGGGGGTCTTTTTTTCTCCGTGGTCGCTGACATTTGTGTTGGGGGCGGGTGGGCTTCGTCTTTTCGTTTCCATGAGAGCCGCGGCCATGAGATATCGTCATCATTGAATGATTGGAACTGATGGGCCCCAGATAATTCAGAATTATGTTGTTCTGTTCATCCGACTACATCTGGATTCGAACTTGCGTCTGTACTTCAACAGTTCATGGGTTTACCAACTGAGCTCGGGTCTTTGGGGTCTTCGTCTTTTCTGTTTTGCTTGCTGGATGCTTTTCCTGGCGTCGATGCGGCAGTCCATGCAGGCGACAAGGATGCAAATACTGGAGCGAGAGATGCGCGAATTTGCCGCATGGGAGATGCCCGGATGCACGATGACCGTTGTAGTGTGTGTCAGCTTGTTGGGAATTGTTCTGTTTCAACGGCTTTTCTTGACGCCGAGGCTCGACAGAGTCGCAAGGCAGATCATTCAGGACGCGAGCAGCTCAGACATTCCTTCATCGAAAGAACATATCAGACGTCAGATAGCAAGTACGCTTCCACCGGGCAAAGCAAGGAATCTCCATGGACTATATGTTGGCTTGGAGCTGTTGAAGGCCTTGCTCCTAGCACTTGCCGGAGGCTGGGCTGTTGGACTATTTGAGGTGTAAGCGATCTTAAGAAGTTGGTGCTCATGGCGTGCTCGTGTGTGTGCCTGCTGGCGGGCAAGTGTGTGGGTGGATGTGTGTGCCCCCTGTCTGTGGGTGTGGGTGTGCATGTGTTTGCAGGTGCCCTTGTGCGTGTTTGCGTGTGTGTGGGTGGGTGTGTGTG